AAATTCATCACGATGACAGGGGAGAGTGTTGGCAGAGATTTGAGCTATTTATTCTTTTAGGAAAATCCTATAAAGAATGACACGAGGAAGCCTCTATCTGCAGTCTTGTTCATCACACTGGTGAGGAGTCCGATAACAGATGTATGCAGTACCGTGATTTAGTGCCGGGAGCTGGCCCCTGATGTGTATTAATACAGCGGCAAAGCGGAACGAGCCCCTCTTCATCACTCATCTCTATAAAAGAGGTGGAATCCGAGATGGCCCGATGTTCGGCAGAGCAAGCCCATTTGTTCTGCTGACTGATGGAGCCAGCTCAGGCTGTGTCCTTCACCTCCATGGGGCACTCAGGTTGCAAAAAAGGAGATCACTGAAGCAGGACCTGGTCAACAAGTGAGACGAGAGCAGTTGGACTCAGCTAAGGAGCTATTTAAAGGTGAAGAAATCCAGCACTCTGTGTGCCTGCAGTGACAGGCATGGGCCTGCGTTCTGATTCACCTGTGTTTCATCTTTTGCAGAAGTAGAAGAAATACCACAAACACAAAAAGCCTCTGTAGTGAGAAAATGAGGCTGCCATGATTCCTTGGGTACAGGGGAACGCCAGTATAAGACATTTATGTAGGGGTGAGTAGATGCAAGGGAGAAAAATATATATCTCTCTCATCGATGTCTAACAAGCATAAGAGTTAATTCTACATCATTGCAGAGTAATCCTATGTATTTCTTTAGGCATTAGTAATACCACAGTCAGATCACCTTTGACAGAAATAATATCAGATTTCATAAGTTTAAGTTACATGCCCAGGTTGTGCTCCAGCTGCAACTGGGAGACTGCTGCGGGAAGTCAGCTAGGACACAGCTTCAGATATCCAATCATAAAAGCTTCTTTCCACAAATCAGTATTGTAGCAAACCCTGCCCATGGCTGTTAACTTGGCTGGGGATATTTCTAAACAGGTTACAAGGAAGAGATCTTTATAATTTCTGACCCTTAAAGACCTTGCAGCACTTTTCTCTTGATAATCAGCACCAGCATCCTGTCCAGATTTCAGCAACTACACTCTCTTTCCTTTTTTTTTTTTTGTAATACATACTCTAATTTGCTCTCCCTCATCCTTAAAAACAAAAAAACCCCACCCACAACCTCTCAAACCTCTGTGCTATTTTCCAGTGCTGAGTTCCACTCCAGATACAGATTCAGCTCTTCAAAAAGTGTTCACTATACAATTTGCCTAGTCAGGTAAGTACAACTTGCATAATATTTTGAAACATGTAGGCATAGAAATAGAAGCTCTCCCTATAGAATGTGACAGCAATGCTGTACAGAATATACTCCAAACAATAAATAAATCAACAGGTAACAGGGGACAGTGAGACACTAGCATTCATACCAATAAAACCTAATATCCCAGAAGCAAAATCCTGTGGCTACGAATATATGATTTTTCTAACCCTTTCACTACAGAAGTTTGAATATCCTAGCATGGAATACTCAAAAGACAGGAAAGAATATCCTAAATAAATGGTCAGCAACAGCTTGCACTTTTGCTGAGCAACAGATTATTAATTTAAATGGGTTTTTTCTCTTTTTTTAAATACAGAACCTTTCAGACAAGTCTGTAATCCAGATCTGTGGCCTGCAGAACTAGCACAACTTTCTTCCCTACTTCATTATTTTACTATCTATCCATCAGCCCAAGGAAGAAATCTAAACTTCATTCCTCCTAGTCATTATCAGTTCCTTTGGTGTTCCCCACTGTTTTCACATCACCATTTTCCCACCAGCTTACCCGCTGCCTTGTTACTGGATTACAAATATAGTTTTTTAATAAACTAGTTGGAAGAACATGAGTTGCCTGATAGCAGGCAAAATATTTCAAGAGGGTGTAGGGTGAGAGGCCAGAAAGAAGTCTCTAACCCCCTCTGTGTTCTGCAGATTAAAACTTTTCCAGATTCTGATGAGTAATCAGTCACTTTCCAGAAATATGCCACATGAAAATAAAATAAACCAACATTTTAATCACTACATCCCCAGAGCAGGAAAAAAAATGACTAGAGCAAGACAATTCCCAGTGAATAGGTAGTCTCACCCAGTGATGATACAAAAGTTGCCAGATTTCTGCTCCTGTGAAAGTGTCTAGAAACACCCTGAAAAAGGGTACCAGGGCCACCAGCTAGTGTCAGCCCAGCACTGAAGGAACACACTATGTATACTGATCACCTCCGTATTGCCACGTACTGCATAATTTAGGAACAGTGGAAATAAGACCTTACGAAGAAACAGGTTATTATCCACTGCACAGTGAAGCACTGTAAGTCATATTAACTCACCATAGCTGCATCATCAAAGATTTGTTTAGTAGGCAGCTTTTAATGCTATGCAAAACAACATTATGTTCTCTCTCACATGTTGCCTTTCTCACACATGTTTCATTAGTTTCAAATCAAGGTAATGCTATTTTTTATTATTGTGACTCTGGCACTTTCCCTAAGAGGGACACGACTTTAGAAATGCTGGCACACAGGTAAATCCAGGCTACCTGATGTTGGGCTGGACATGGAGGCTGCAGCTGGCTTTCGTTTCCTCTTGATGTCCCTCGAACATGGTGGTCCCAGGTGTACATTTGCTTGCCTATAGAGAAATTAAAACAAATTAAACTCTGTTCCAGCATCACCTTCCTGTAAGACTCTGGCCAATCAGCCTCCAATTCCCACCTTCCCGTCAGCTTCTTAACTAGCAGGCAGCACAAATCAAAAGCTTCTCAGGGAACTTTTGCTCACATTCTTCATTAATATACCATTATGCTCCATTTCTTTTTAGAGTTCATGCATATATACTGCTCAGATGAGCAATTATTTCTTAGCCTTTAAAGGATTTGGGTTTGTATTAACTTTAAAATAACTCTTTGTATAAGTAAAGATGTGACGAAACAGTGAACTGACATGTCCTACCATTGCTTCTATAAAGTATAACAAATATCTGCGAGATTACTCTGAAGAAATTGCATGATATTTGCTCCCTTATTCAGAAATTATTTTGCAACTTATTTAGTACTGTAGAGTCATCTTAGAATGTACCTATATTCCAAATGTCCATACATATTGTTTCCACTACAATAGTAAGTTCATAAAGTTAGGAATACAAAACTGTCTCATGCATTTTCAAAATGACAACTTCCCTATCAAAGTGCTGTGGAAACAGCTGAATCTGGCTTATGGTAATACAGATTTGCTACACCTGTAAACTGGCATAATCTGTCCCGGTCATACCAACTGTTAAGTCTGAAGCCTACTGATGACCACTTCTGTGAAACCATTTGCCAATTAAGAAGAAACCTGCATTATTGGGACTGACTTGAACTGAGGACTCCTCCAAGTTCCAGACATAGGAGGAAGAGAAGTTTAATTCAGAAAAGACAGTCTTGGCAGCAGACCAGAGAACTTTTCCAAACACAATCTATAATGAATACAAATGCATAATTTAGCTTTGCCTGAGATAACAGAGTTTCTTTGGCAAGTTCCTTGGTCACTCTCTGCATCAGATCTGACGTGCAAAATGCAGAACTACAGTGCAAACAAAATCCATTAAAGATTGTGAGGTGCTTACATGGTGTAAAGACTGGAACCATATAAATTTTGATGATTAAGTGATGAAAAGCTTCCGTGTCTTTAAAGCCTGTTATTTTGATTAAAAAAAAAAAAAAATCCTGAATGTCTAACAAGCATATTTATCAAGTACTGAAATCTTTTACAGGTAACAAAAGGAAAAGTTCATGGCTTCATATTTCCACGTCAATATCTATTTCAAAAAAAAAAAGCAGCATATTTCTAATATATACAATTTTAGATGCTCAATTTATGCAAAACCAAAGTGTGCTGTTGTAGCTATACAGAACAGTGTAAGTAGCACAAAAAAGTTCCTATACCAGCCAAGACTATAAACTGTTTGAATGCTGCTGGGTCTACATACTTACCTGTAACAAATGCACAACCACAACATAAGAAATATCTACCGTTCTGTCTTCTCAACTAAAATTCAAAAGTTCTACAAGAAGTCTACAAGATCTGTCATCTAAATCTGACATTAAGGAATAGTTTCAAAAATTTTTAAATTGTGCTAAGTTCCACTGACAGCAAATTTTTCAAATCTGCAAACGCATATTAGTATAACCAGTCACAGAAGTCTCCTGAAATCATGAACTAAAGGCTTTCAAAAATACCAGCGCACCTATAGACTGCATATTCAAATCTTTTGTCACCTCTAAGTGACTTCACACATGCTAAAGGCTGCTTCTGTACATGATTATGATAGTGGCTATATAGCATTTTACCACAGTTGTAGCATGTATTCTGAAACATGGAGGCACACATAGCCCAAAGAAAAGATAGTCTCAATCAAGTGGAACTTCAGTTTTTTATTTTGCATCAGTGACACAGTATTAGATTACTAACTAGATGACTATGTAATTATATATACTAATCCAACTCATTTTATCACATAATAGTAATAAGGTTACCATTTTAATTTGTGAACTTACACCAACATTGGCCAGCTGATCCTCGGTGGAGAATCACTATGGACTAGGAAAGAAGTATGCACTACCATTTCCAAGAGACTTTATGCAATTTTATGCAGTTCACAAATGTTACAGCTAGATTTCGAATAAGAGCTCCTGGCTCTTAGCACATGCTCAAACCACATCTAATAAGAGCTCCTGGCTCTCAGCACATGCTCAAACCACATCTAATAAGAGCTCCTGGATCTCAGCACATGCTCAAACCACATCTACCCTTACCTCATGATTACACAGGGAGTAAAAAAAAAAAACCACACCAAAAAAAACCAGATACAAGAATCTCAGAATCCCTTCTTGTAGTGAAAGTAAAGGCAAATCATACTCCAGCTGGAGACTAATAGCAAGGACACTGCAACTAGCAGCCCTGCCTCTAACACACAAAGGCTCAGAGGTCATAAATTGTCTCTGTAACATGTATTTCATTCAGGTTTATCCCCTATTGATCACCCAGACTTCAGTTAGTAAATCAGGAACCTATTGATTACTCACTGGCTCTGACTGACCTGGTGGTAAAAGTGTCAGTTTCAAGTGGATGGTGCACTTTACGGGCACCATAAATCTGCATACAGGGAATCTCCAGGTGGTAGGTACCTTGGGAGAGAGAGGAGCAGAAGAACGCACGCAGGGATGATTAAGACATGGACTTTCTGAGTATGTCTGAGGTATAATTTATGAAATATGCATTTTTTGGTAGATATCACACTTTTCAATCTAAATTTCTAATTACTAGCTGGCATACAGGTAAGAGAACAGAATTGGTGAATCTCAGTTTAACAGCAGACTCCTAGAAACACCACCACCAGGAACGTCAGATCATGGGTATGCGCAGCACACAACATTGCAGTGGACAGGCTGAACTATAAATTGTGAAAGTCTCACTGACAGGCTGCAGCCATGAATTAGTTTTTCTGCCAAAGTTGAATTTTAACAACTCTTCTGAACAGTTTAAAAATTATTCTGAAGTAGAATAGAACAGGGCTGAGAGGAAAGGCTGACAGAAAACGCACATTCATCCAGTGTCACAAGCCCCTTGGTGAAGAAGTCCGAGGCACAGAGCTTTGTGGGATGGAAGATCTGGGACTAAACTGAGAAACTAGAAAGATACTTACTCTGTCCTTACTGGATTTCAATCTCTTCTGCTAGGCTTCTATATTTTCTTTAATGTTGCACAAACAGTAATGAGAAAATAATTGCCTGATTACTTTTGGACTATGTCTGGTTGATCATAAGAAAAAAAACAAAGTCACAGTGCTCAGTCACAGTTGAATCTGCTAGGTGACCAAAGACTAATGTGAAAACCTAGTTTATAGTCTAGAGAGGACTGAAATTTTAACCTGGGAAGAGAAAAAGCAGAAGACACCTAGAGACACAAAGCAGGATCCAAAGTGCAGCTATACTGATGGCTACAATATATCCAACTCACATGGCAGCCTCTCACTACCAGGAGTTAGTGAATGAAAAATTACATATGTACAGAAAAAATGGTTTTATATGGAAAAAAGTCTATAGTGTCTTTCTGACAGTGATGGGGTTTTTTTTAATCACAAGCTAAAGGAATTATCCAGGAAATATGGATTTGTCTCTTGTTTTTAACCTAGTACTTAAGGTGCCTGATTCTGCATGCAGGTCATGCTGAAGAAAAAGCAGGCTTTGCTACATAGAAAGCCGAGATTCATTGCTGTCTCTAATGTGTCAGAAGTAATGCTTCCTTTCTTTTCTTTTCCACATGTTTATTCTATGACTCTCAAATTTTTTTTTTAAATGAACTGTAATTGCATACACCAGATTCCTATCTCACTCCTACAGTTCGAGGTGACCACGTGCTGGACTATAGGGTCACAGGAGCTTGCCACTATTTTACATCTGCCACAGTGTTTCAACAGAAAATTAGGATTGGCAGTACAATCTGGAGGGGACAATACAGAGCACAAGCACACACCAGCCCACAAAGAACCTTTGTTCTTTCAGGGGCATTAGGCCCCTGAAACCTTCACTATCTGTGAAGAAAAGTCTAGATAGTAAAGTGACGTCTGCTCTCAAAATTCAGGGTAAAAACCACCTCAATCTCACAAGGGAGGTCTCTGAGAAGTCCCTGCAGAGCTAACTGTGGCAGTCTGTGGCCTTCTTGGAGGCAAGAGGCACATCACACACTTGGGCATGTATGCCTCTCGCTGTAATCTCCCATCATCCAGCTTCTCTGCTGACAATCTTTATTCTAACGCTATCCTTGGAGGAAGCAAAGCGCATGGATTATGTAGCAAGAGGCAGCTATTAATCTACTGTCATACAAACAAGGGATGCTATTATCCTCATGTTAAAGTAGATGTTCAACAGAGACAGCTTTCTAACAAGGATACTGCTACTAAAACTCCACACAATCCAGCTGTTGCTGTTGTGATGCTATATTCCCAGCAAACAGGCTAAATAAAAGGCTCTCTCTCTAAGCCCTGAAGTGTTACCTGAGGCTGTTGATGGTGGCTTCACAAAATTAATCGTAAAAGTAGAGTTCTTCATCCTCTTTGACTACAGAGCCAACTGGGCACCAAAGTCTGATCTGCACATAACAGGTGTAAATCAATACAAGTTGCTCATCCAATCTGCACACAAAGCTCCCATGCATCCAAGTGGTTCTTACTATCACATCACACTGCAGATATTGCCTATGCATAGCAGAATCTCCCCTGCCCTGCAGAGCCTCATGGGAGAGTTTCTAGAGCTCATTTTCAGATTCCAAAAATCACTAACACGTCAGCTCACTTCTTCAGTCATCCAATTCTCACAGGTCTTCATGCAGAAGCAGTCTGTTCCCCTAGTAAGCATTCCAATAAGGTAGCAATTCCATTCCTAAAAGTTCGTGTGTGGCAAATGCAAGTGAACACATTTTCTTCTAGTTTTCCAGGTAAGCATTCTACACAGAGAGATGATGTGATCTCATGTATTGCATTCTCTATCTTCATACTGAATCACATGATACATAATCATGATAGGAAAGAGTCCCAATATTTGCCAGACCTGCTGAGTACACAGATTTGATAATGGCAACATGCTTTATAGGCACAGAAAGCAAGAGCAAGTAAACAAAAATCTGAAGCCAGGGGCATTTATTTTTCACTCCAGAGAATTACGATTCACCAAAATGGGAGCATTAGGCCTCAGACAACTGCATGTGACACTAGGTTGATAGCTGCTGTTCATTGCATGCTTGTCAGAAGAATTCAGTTATATCCTCAACTGCAATATTAGCCAGGCTTTAGCAAAGGAAGACATGAAAGCGCTCCAGTTAAATGGAAAAAGAGTTTTTGAAAAAAACAGGGAGAAAGATGCCATTTTTACATAAAGACAATTCCAGGAAGATGAAGATGTGCGGATTGGTTGCATGGAATGAACTGGATACTGTCCTGGTCAAGTGAGACAGCATGAAATTGTGAACATCCGTTCACTCCTTCAGCTGCCTCAGGAAAGACTTGACATAGTGGGCGATCCCTATACTTCCACATGCTTAGGTAAGAGGCAGAAATGTCAGGATCTCTGCACAAACACAGAAGAGAAAAAACAAGATTTACTTTGATGAGCATATTTCCAGAGCTGGAACTAGAATTAAGAGACATTCAAGCCTTTTCACTCTAACAGCACCACCAAATCCAGGGTGTGGAACAACTGGCAGTTTACTAGGAGATGATCACACACCCCTTTAGATCTCTATCCTGTGTTCCAGGACAGATGAGACACTTGCTTCTAAACCCAATTAAACTCTAGGTTTACAGGTAATATTAACTGAAAGTACGTGCAACGTGATTTTCTTTGATTCACCTGTACCATCTCTAACATAATCCTTCAAATCTTCAAAACCTTCAACATCTACTTGCCATCTGAGGTCCACTTTTCCTGTGACCTCCAGTGGGAACATTTAATTGAGTTTTTCACCCATAACCCTATTTTCAAGGCTAGGCAAACAATAAATGGCATTAGGGACAATTTATCTTCTACCTTCCTCTCTTATTCTACCTGCTATTCAAACTCAAATTGACGGGAACATTGGCTCTAGGCTCTTCTGAAACTCTTACCCTGCCTCAAGGGAATAACATTCCACCAAACAACAATATGTAACATCTTCCCACTGACAGAACCATTGAATAACCAAAAATCTAATGAGATATTCTGCTTGAGCCTGTACAAAATCCTCTTAAGTAGAAGGTCAAGAAGAAAATTCTGTTCAGACCACTCCTTTCTCCCAGAAAGGCAAATGGGCAGAGGGGAAAGAGGAGAAGGATCACTTGGGCTGTCCATGCAAGTCTCTACTTGCTTGCTTTTAACAGCCTGCATCGTCAAGCTGAAACCTTAACAGACAAGACATGATTAGCAAACGCTTTGTGCTCTTAAAGGAGAGTAATTATAGGCATGTGAAAAAAGGAAGAGATCCCCGAGGTACTCTTCCTTGCATGCCTCCCGAGAGGCAGCAGGGCCATTAAAAATTCCATGATGAAGAGGAAAAACAGCCTGGGAACAGCCAGGAGGCAATACAGCAAATTAATACACCAGTCGTCCCTCGGGAGGGCTGCAAGAAAGCAGGAAACTCTCCTCGCTTCACAAAATAAAATTATACCACTAATGATAACAGTCACCACACACACAAAACTGCTTCTAATGATGGGTGTGAAATTCCCAGTGCTGTGCATACACTTTGAATGAAATCTCTTCTCATCACAGACATAAAGCAAGAAAGGTAATCTTGGTAGTGTACAATTTATACAGCCTTTCAAATAGGACTTCCCAAGGAACCCTCCACATAGAACCTCCTCCTTGACACTGAAAAGCCTTTCTTGAACACCCCCAAGTGTGCTCAGTATTCTGGCCTTCAGCTCTGCTTAAACGAAGCACTGGGTTACCAGCCTTCCAGATAAACTGCACCAAAATCTACCACTGAGACAAAGAAAACACTTCCATGGGAGAGAAGAGACTCCACCTGGTAACTATACTCCACTGGATACACCTGTGATAGCAGAAACTAAATAGAGAGTGGTTATTTTGCATTGCACAGTGGGCATCAGGGTGAAGAAATTGGATGCCCACAACATCAAGACAGTTTCTCCTCTAACACATTGTATAGCATTCTCAGGGGATTAGCTTCCCCCACACATACACCATTCTGACAAATTTCCGAGTAGAGTTTCTCCAGGATGAGGTGCAAGCTGTTAGGAGCTTACTAAAGCACAAACTACTGGAATCGACTCCATCCGTGGCAAAAGAGGAAAATGTTAACTGGGGCAACAGCTGAAGAGCACTTAGAAAGATCACCTGAACCTCATGTAAAAAAATTGACAGCTAATAGGGTTAGCTCTTGAAGCACCTAAAGAACAGCTATTGTCAAGAAAACGTTTCTGTGAAAGAACAGTTTCTTTCCGTGCCCTTGGCAGCATCTTTGCATAAAGCAAGCACCTTACACTGAAGAGTTCAATCCTTGCTACGTATACGGAACCACAAAACACATTCATTCTTTCCACATTTCTTTCTCCTATAAAGATTCTTGAGCACATTTCACACTAAAATAGGAACTACTTTCTCAAACTACAGGCACTTAAAAACACAGCTGCCTCTGGGATGGGACAACTTCCCTGCCAACATTCAGTAACAATTCATCAGGGATTATACCTGTCAGGACATCAGCCACCTGTTCATTAGATGAAGGAACCAAGCATATATTCATTGGTTAACTAGACTACATATTCAGCAAAACCAAGCAAACACAATCCCTCCAGTTTTAGAAATCCCTTGCCATAACCAGTAGCTTTGGAAAGGGCCTTCACTGATCATCACAAAGGTAGAGACCTTGCCCTGTTTGAATTTGTGAGCAGGATTTGTCTAGCTCTCCTTTCTGGAAGCCAAACTTCTGTAGAGCACCAAGTAAAACACTCAAGGCACAAGAAAGTTTATCCTAGCTGTAAGTGAAGAGAGCAATCAATCTTCTTGCTTCACAGGCACAAAACATCCCCAGATTGGGGCAAAAGCATAGAAAGGAACCAATTTGTTGATGCGCAATCTTCTGAATTCTTTTTGTTCTCATCCAGTTGAATGTTCAAGTGTTGATTTCTTCCTCCCTCCCCCTTTCCAGCTTTAACATGCTAGCTACAGCAGCATGAGGTCATGGTGCGACATCACAAAATTCCCTGCAGAAGCCAGTGGGAGGAGAGGCTTTCCTGGGTGCGTGCCAAGCTTTCGTTCAGACACATACAACCTCAGTACATTTTTCATGCTCTATTTGCTAATTAACAAGGGAAAGAAAACCATGAAGCTGAAAGTCCAGAAGTTTCTTTCAGATTTGGTCCTTCATACAAGCACATAAGTAGAATTGTGTCCCAAGCAAGGCTTTGTCTCCTTGCATGGGAAAGAGCTCAAGGGCACCTTACCTTTAGAGAGTCACCTCCAAGGCCGACACTTGAATTTAATTTAGGATTAGTCAGCAGAAGGTGCCTGAATAGCATATTAACCCCAACTATACAGACTCAAATATACCTCAACGTTTGGCCAGAGCAGATCTAAATTTCAGCCAGAGCAACAGAGAGAGAGATCAAGCCATTAGAGGTCACCTCAGGTGAGTTTTGAATCTGTTCAGAGGGTCTATTTTAGGCACCCAGGATACCAAAATGCCTCAGCGTGTCACCCACACGAGCTTGTCAGCACTTTCTCTCTCATCTTGTTCTGATTTTAATAGTGGGCAACAATACTATGTCCATTTGTACCTATACAACAGACTTGCAGCAACTCACTGCACAATCCAGAACAGATCACATTTATTTCTAAAAGCACAGTATGTTCTGCCTGTCTGTCATACACCGTTTCATACATTCTAAGTGCTTAGGGTGTTGAGATTCTCAGATAATCTGCATCGGTACATTTTATGCTCAGTTTGAACACAGCCCTCCTAGGGAAAAGCGTGTTAACTTCCAGGTCCATAAGTATTGTTCAGACCACATAGTACTACTGAAGATACCCACAGGAGGGAAGTGAGACAACCCCAACAGAGCAGAGCAATAGAGTTACCTGGCAGTGCAGTGTGCTGGTGAGCATCTTCGGTGGGAAGCATCAGCAAGCACATCCAGAGAGTACAGAGGAGATAATGGATTGAACTGGAAAGTCAAGAGATTTTATTTAAGCAAAGCATTAAAAGAAATAGTCTCCAGATACAGCTGCTCAGATCTATTCCCTATAGTTGTTCATACAGTATAAGGAGACCTTTCTGACACACCAAGGGGTGCGACTAGATAAGAACCGACTAACCTCAGACAAAAGGCTAGCACGGGGTGCAACAGCAAATCTCATAACCATCTTCTCACAGCCTTATAAGCACACTTCTCTTCCAACTTGCATTATTACAAATGCTGGTTGACTAAAAGCATACTCAAAGAGCCCTACTGGTGCATGCCATGAGCAAAAAGTCTGCCTCCCTTTTGGACAGCCTCTTGTCTACCTTCACATCGTAAAGAGAAAAGTCACCCTTATAAATGGTGCAAGTACAGAATTTCCCATGGAGCAGTTCCAATATTCCCTATAGGCATATGTATCACTGAAACAGATCTCTAGAAGACTCAGGTCCACCATGTTCAGTTCACAGTGAGCTCCCAATTCATTCCACAGCAGGCAAGCTGGTCCTCCCACTCCCAACCCACCTCACAAGCTTTCTTTACAAACTGCTTAAAACTAACTTCTGAAACACTGCACGGTCAGGCTAATCTTAGATCCTCTGTTAAACATACACTAGACAAATCCTGAAGGCAAACCTGCGCAAGACAGCTTGTTGCAGAAGATGCCGCTCTTAAGATTTTTATTTTTTTTTATAGGTCACAACAGGAATGTAATAATCTAGTCAATCAATACATGGAGCAAACTTTGCTCAACGTGCAAATAGAAGGTTTAGACTGGTAGTTTCTCTGGGATACTTGCATTACGCTTCCATTCAGCATCTCCTCTTTATTTATAATTCACACCACAAGCAGGAAATTCATTTCCATCTGCTCTGCAAAGTGCAACATCAATCTCCAGAATGCTTTTCTTGTATTATTAGGATTACTGATGCATTTTTAAATAAGGACAAATTAATAATCCACGGACTTGTCATAAAAGCTATCTGCAACTCTAGAACTCACTACTAGGACCTTGCCTTCAACCTTTCTGAGAAAGAAGAGGCACTATGCACCACAAAGCTGCTACTATAAGGGAGCTCCTCCTTAAGTTGGACTGTTAAATTTACTGTCAGTGAAGTAACACTGCAGCTGCACAGTAGGGGACACTCACCAGTAACCCTCTGTAGCTGATTCAAGTTCATTTAAGAAAAACAAAAGTAATTTATTCTGGTCATTTTAAAGCTTATATAATTATCATTCTTATCTTTAGCAATATATAAAAGTGGTATGTGAAATGTTCTCATTAACAATTGCACAAAGGCCTGAAAATTATGTCTTGCCATATGTTTTACCCTTCAGGTGACTAAAAATACAGAGTTCAGTCCTACTGCTCACCAACCAAAAACCAACTCACAAAGGAATAGAAGGGAGTGTGCATGGCTAGGAACAATGTTATAATACAGCTGCTCAAATGGAAGATCCTTTTTGCTTTCTGCTATCAAGAACCGAAGCTCTTATATCTTAAGTAAAAAAAGCTTCCTAACACTGAAGCTATGAAAGACTTACTGAAGAATATAAAAGTGCATACACAAGAGTTTCAGTTAAAAGAATGCCTGTTTCTCTTGCATATCACTTCTTACGTTCTCCTGGTACACTTGTTATTTAACGACAATCAGCTCACCATTTTTTTCCCTTCTCTGTTGATGAAACTATCAGGTAGAAGCCCGAGCCAAACAAGACAAAACAAAGCATTTGGAAAGAGAAAAATGTTCCAATTCTTATGGAATTTTGAGAGGCGAAAGTTTCTCCTGCCAAGAGGCATTTTCCCTCCCACTCATTGTCAAGAGAGGAAGGCCTACACTAACCTGAAACAGGTGGATAAACAAAAGGAGTTCCTGAGCTATTCAGTTTAAACAGACAATATAATGCCAGAGACATGGGTTGTGTTCAAAGCCCAGAAGACATCAGTTACCAAAATGAGAAGGGACAGGCTGCCTTACCTCATGTGCACAGGCCACAGTGTGTGGGAAATCAGAAGCCGGCACTTTGTTCTTTCTAGAGAGAAGGAAACCAAGAAAATAAAAAAGGTAGAACAGAGTCAGCTTACCTGGTTGCGATCTCTCTTCCCCATGGATGGTAACCAAAAACTGGAAGGAGGCAGAGTCGGAAGGACAGGTTGGAGCAATGCCAAGGAAGGAGCGAACATGGGGGGGGGGGGGGAGAGGGGGGGGGGGGGGGAAAAGGAGGGTTGCGGGTAACAAGAGAAGGGGAAAGGAAGAACAAAAATGGAGGGAGAAGAAGAAAGATTAAACATCAGCAGGACTCGTATTAAAACCAGTGAATTTCAGATCCAAGGAAGAAAATTGGATACCAACAGCTAGTGATGGCTGGACCCACTGCACTACAGTCAAGAGGTGCCACCCTTATCTATCCATTGCCCAACAAGAATAGCATTAGAGGGATGCCAAAGGATATGCACCATGACTATTTCCGGTGCTGACTACAATTTAAATACACTAATTGGGGAAGGAGACAGAACACCAAAGAAAGAGAAAGCAATTTTGCAGCTGCCTTGTCAGCAACATTTCTGCAGTCTGGGTATGCACCCATAGTGTGACTCGACACAGAAGCTTCTTAAATAACTAACATACAGGGCTCAGTCATCTTATACTGTGCAGAAGATGTGCAGTTATTGCAATGGCACATTATAAGGGAGGGGGAAAGAAAAAGCTGACTGTCACCAAAAGGGCATTTGAGCAGTGTCCACCCACTAGGGTAGCCTTATAAACAAAAGGGAAGTCAGCAATTGCAAATAAGAAAACAGAAAAGCCATCAGTAGAGGACTGTCTCCCATTCTACAGGTCCCTGCATGCTTAAGTTACCACCCGGCTCTTCATTCTCTTCAGTCCCAGGAGGGAAGAGGACCCTATAGTTCTTCCTCCCCTCCCAAAGTTCTACACAACAGCTGTTAAGGGCCTTACTCTTTCTGGCGCGGATCACTAACAATATGACCTAGCCTCTCGGTGCCCAGAGTGCTCATGGAGGTCTCCTGAAACACAAAGACAGGTAAAAGGTTGCAGACTCTCACACAGTGAGCAGATACAATAGTTTCCTGCTGCCAATAAGAACAGATCTTACTCCCCTGGGCCACATCCTTTCCTTCCCAGCCCACTCTCAGCTAAACATACTCACCCTCTCCTTTTAGAACCTCGACTGAGCTGATTTAACTAATTAGAAAGGCAGAAAATCATTCAGTTTTATTTGTGAGGCTTGTTTTTATTATTTTAGTGATGGTATTTGTTTGCACAGGGGTGCACCAAGGACTGGACCAGTATAAAGTATGCAGCACAAGGACGCAGTTAAGAACAGGGGAAATGGCTGATAAGTGCTTATTTCCAAGTTGCTGGGGTCAGCTGGGACAGGAACAGGCTGAGAGTCAGGACATCACACTGTCCCACTAACAATGGGGATTCACCAAGCACAGGTGAATGAAACGAGTACAAATGAAGCTTTTGCCCTTCCTGAAAGCAGCAATTCAGCAGCAGGACCTCTAGCAGCTAAAGAAAAGGTAGATCCTATGAGAAAGGAATTGCTCTGGGAGCATGTTTCTCCCTGCAAGACACTGCCTTGTGCATGTGCTTGATGCTGGCATACACGTACGCATAGAGCCTGAAGCACCAGCGGTTCATATCTGCATAGCAACTACCTCCGAGAAAGAAATATACTTTACAGTAAGAGTCTGAAGATGAGGGTAAAAGCCTTTCACAGGTAAGATTCTTCACAATTTGTACCAGGTACATAGGCAAAACACACTCAAAGTTTGGGGGAGTTGTAGCAGCAGGGGTAAAAGATGGGCTATTTGTTACAGCAGGAAAATTATTAACTTAAAGTGCCGTAATGTTTAAATTTACGGTTTATTACTGTGTAAATTACAAGCCGTACTTTTGGTAATTAGCAGCTCGCTAGCGGGGAGCTCTGAATGAAACTCATTATTTATGATTACAATTTAGAGAGATGGGAAAGGGGGAGCAGTGACCTCCGCTGCAAATGACAAAGATCCCTTTAAGGTGATGAAGATGAATTAAACAAGTAAATATTATCCTTCTCATTTGGATCATTAGAGGTGCTGCCAACAGGCCCAGCCACTTGCAGGTGGCCTGAGGAACCCTACCCAAAGCCAGTCTCTTGTCAGCTGAGGATTCATATTTTAAAAGCTGGTTACAACCAAGCAAGGTGAGTGGAAGAAAGAAGGGGCAAACAAGGATCTTTCAAGTGTGACTGAACAGAAGGAAGACATCACACTCCTCTATACTCCAGGCCTCTCTAACACACCTTGTTAACAGACCCTCTAAAGCCAGTCAGCTCAGTATATACACCAATATTTTCAAAAGCACAGAGCACATCCCCATAACAGCAAAGCCAAATGCAGCCAACACCTTCCTCATCAGAAACATCTTTTACAACAGACAGCAGCACTCAACACTCTGAGATACAAACACAACCAGGTGTGTCCCTCCTCCTTTTAGGCAGGCATCTGTGAAGTGTTGCTTATTCCTTTAGAAACAGAACTAATATTTTATTGGTTGTTTCCCCTACATATAATAAACTTAGTCAACGGCTCCAGGTAACTTTGTCTGCATTATTGCATATAATCTTTTATTCTTCTGTCTCCCCACTAAAAATGCAACTGCTAAAACCTTTGCTGCCATTCATATCAGTCTGCTTCTCTAAAATTTGGCCTTCCTTCACCTTTGAGTCACCTCTCTGCTCTTGTAGTCTCAGATTATGAGCATGTACAAGTCTCATGCCATCATCATTTTCCTCTACATTGTCTAAATCTTCTTGATATTTATGTTCCCTGTCATTCATCTTCAGACCTCCTTTCATACTGCTTTTAGCACTGATCAACTGTCTTTGCCACTCCAAACGTGCCTTAAAATCCACTTAGCCACTCAATCAACTTCTGACAGTCAAAGCAGTTAAACAAATCAAACAACACATGAAACAAAAAACGTACAGGGCCCCTTTCTGCAGAAACCAATTCACATGGTATCTTAGAATAGTATTTCAGGACTGATCAGCATTAGAAATACAAAATTATTATCCCGGAAAAGGGAATACCTTGCCAACAAGCCTCCTCCGACCTTTCCGGAGACAACGGGCTGCAGCTCCTGGAAGGCGATTCAGGCGAGCATGAAATCCTGAAAACCAAACCCAGAAAAACTGAGCAATGAATACAGAAGATTCTTCTTGACAAAATCACCAGGATAAACAATTAGTTCAGTGGTCAAATCAGATCCTCTGCCTCTTGTTTCTCAATCTGCAAGAGGTAGATATGCCAATTTATTAATAATCAAATAAAATCCCTACTTAAAAAAAACAAGAAAAGTCAGGAATGTGGGCAGCTGGTATGAGTATTTTAGTATCCTCTCTAGTAGTGCAGCTATTTTCAACTGGATTATTAAAAAAAGCAGATCACCAATAATCAATTTAAATTCCAGCACCTATGAACAGAATCCGCTTTTGCCATCACATCAAAAGTTCTCAAACACATGGCATTCCTTATGGACCCCACCTCTCTGAGCTGGCCGCGAGGGCAAAAGGAATGTGGAATCCGAGAGCTTGTCCAGGCCTGAGTCAATCCGCTCCACTTCAGATCGGTGGTCAGCTCCCCACTTGGGAAGAAGGTTCGGGACGGTGAATCCTGGAACACATTCTCCTTCATAAAACCAATCACTTTGCTCATCATCTCCTAAAGAAATAGGATGGAATTAGCCACGAGTAACATCAACGTGCCCTGTGACAGTCCCACAAAATACTACAGCTAGGCATTTGTGGATATGAAACAGCTGAAGTCTCAGTAGGAATTCCTTCCTGAAGAGCCTTATATTTGTATTCTGTTTCAATGATCCGCAGTAACTGTGGGGCCTCACTAAGTGCTTTAAACTCTGCCTAGGGCAGCTTTAGCACTCTGTTGCAACTGCATCTCATCAACCTTAGTTCAATGTTGTGTGATGTCTTATGCACAACTCTTTCTCTGAAGTAATTACTGTGACAGAGGTAGAGGCCAATCATTTCGCACACGTTATAGGCTGTCGCAGGAGAGACTTCACAACAGGAGAAGACCAGGCTCACAGAGTAAGCAAAAGGAGCATACTCACTGATGAGAAAGATCCCTAGTCTCCTAAGACAACAGCTAAGCGGAAAACACACAACCATTAGAAACGGTCACTCTGAGTGTAAGTACTAACCATGCTATGTGTCTACCTCACTCAAAGTTTCTTAGAATCTGTGAGAAATACAAACCCTCTGCAAAACTAGAGCAGCAGCAACAGAAGTCACGACCAAAGTCTCCATAAAGCAGGGTCACTGTAATTAATGTAGTTGCAGTCTAAAACTGAACTGCATCAGACACCATTCATGGTATATCTGCCTGGCCAGAAATCTCCTGAGAGCACTAGCATGTGAGCAGTGTAAGAAAAAAAGCAGGAAGAGAGGAAGAGGGCAAAGAACCTGGCACACTTAGCTTTTTAGTAGCCCAACTAACAAACAGTCCTATGTAATTGCAAGGTACCTCACCTTGCCTTAAAAAACTAACACACCTGGCTTAGGGAAAACTCTCATTCGCCTACCATCAAGCATACCCACTTACTCTCCTTTCCGCACCAAGTTACATCATTCCTGAATGAAGTACATTATGCCTACCCACACATCTTGCCAGACAAAAAAAAAAAAAAAAAAAAAAAAAAAGAAAAAAGAATACAAGAAAAAGAAAAAAACCTCATCCTAGTAATAATGCTGCAATCTTGCACACAACAGAAGAAGCAATACCCAAAACCAACTCTAATCACCAACAGGTATGACAGCCAGAACACCTAATTCTCAAAGCTCTGACGTTGCTTGTTACATGCTTGTGACAAATATATTTTAAAATATAAATATCCCTAACCACTGTACAGTAAATTAAAACTAAGTAATGTTGGATAGTTCTTTTAAGTGATCACAATTAGCGCAAAAATATCCCTACAGTTTTGGATCTATGAGCACAGTGCAGTGTCATATCTCAAATCATTACTTTCACAAGACAAACTTTAACAATCAGAATCATATGCTAATACCGCAGTAATTTTCACCATAACAGATCCCAATGCATTTAACAAAAGAAATCCTTACAATCAAATTATAAGCTAGGACCATTCTCTGCTCACAGAAGTGCACTGGCAGCTGGAATTACCAAGACAAGCTATTTAATTAGCAACAGCACAAATATTATATGACATAACCTCAAAAGAAGGGGAGAGGGGTAGAAACTACATTCAATTTAAGTACACTGCTATCTTAAAATTCCCATTATTTAGTTTGGAGTTGTACTAGAAAACTATTTCTAAGATGATGGTCTGTGGAAAAGAAGTTTTGTGCTCTCTCCATCTCACTGAAGTGAAAAGCTGTTGTTTACTATTTACTTTATAACTAGAAATTGACCAAAAAAAAAAATAAAATAAAAAAAAAAAAGAGATGTTTGTTATTCAACTTGAAAGTGCAACAACATTTTTTAACCCTTTTGAACATAACTGTAAGCTAAAGCACATTGGTTAGAAAGCTGTTAATAGTATAAACTGTTTGAACAGACAGAGGCCTGATGATGAGGATGTCCAACCTCTTCTAGTACCTAGACAGGTAAGGCTCTAATTGGATTTTATTGATTTATTTTAGTAGTATATTCTACATGCTCTTGTATAGTGGGCATCTTACTTCTAGTAGCAACCAAAAGTTAATGCCTAAAACAGGGTATAAAACCAGGGCAAGCATACAGACAACTGTATATTTATACATATATATATATACACACACACACACTTATCCAGTCTACATCAATCTTGCCTCAGGTGATGAAGTAAAAATTCAACACTTCAGTCACCACCTTGCTTTGTCATCTGATATGAAAGCACTCACTAATTTCAACTCCCCCAGAACAGTCTTCAGGAAAAAGAAAGGAGAAAAGATTTGACTTTTCTGTTGCTTTTGGGAATATTTTTCAGCAAAGCTCAAAGCTGATGTTTGAAATCCTTACTCTTAGGGAAAATACTATAGCCACCTAAGATCACAACACATCAGCCTAACATCATCAGAAAACATGTAAGCATACTTGGTATCGTGGTGTTGCCTCACACGCAGATATCTGGGTCAGTAGCAAGCTAGCAGAAGCAGTATTTCCTACTGAGTTACTGATACTACTTCCTGTGGCACTCATATATTCCCAGAAGAGATCTCATCCAAATTTTAGCTTATGAAACGTGACAGAATCAGAGTGCACACCAGCAGAAGGTGCGTGGAATTACAGGTCTCTAGGGTCACATTCCACCTGCTCCAAATATAATAGTCCTGACTGCCCATGTGCCTACTACAACCTCTTCACACTTACTTCTGCCACATCCCCCACAAACCAGACACTGTGCTGTCAATTATAAATAAAACCAGATTATACTCCACACTCAAACCTCCTAAGAAACCATTTCTACAACAGACATTGAAAATACTAGGCTCAAACAATGCATGCAAGAGCAAGGGAGGTATGTGTATTTAAAGAAAGAAAATCACGTATTACTGTTGTCGTCTTAGCATAGTCCGTTAGGTCTCTAGTCAGTACGACCTGATTTTTTTTTTTTTTAAACCCACATCGTCTCTTCCTGCCCATACAGAAAACAACTAACAGATTCAGGCCCTAATGGCATATAGACAACAATTAAAACACCTATAGAAATAAATCATAACCTCTGCTCTTTCATTACGGAGAGCTCTAAAACTCCTCTTGTATTTCTGTGCCTTTCCATAATAATAGCTCATATTTCAAATGTTATGGATATGATATATATGATATGTATGATATATATGATATACAAAATTTCTTAACTTCTAGCCTTCCCAGACACTGGCCTTTGTCCCATACATCCCTCTCTGTCCCTCTTCAAACATACATCTTTCTTTGTATTTTTAAAGAAAGAAGGAGACATTTCCCAGCAACACATGAGGAAAATCACAGGACAGTTGTTACCTTGGCGGCCCTCATCGTTGGTAAACAGGCCAGTATCACTGCTGCTGCACACACTGCTGGTTTCACTGGAACAAAAACAAACAAACAAAAAACCCACATTGTTACAACTACAGCAGATACAAAACAAAACTCACCTTATTAACTTTTACTAGCTTCTCTGAGCCCAAAATGCTCTACACATCTCACAGAAATTGCATTTCAGACACATGGCTGGCTCTAGCACGGGATGTAATTTGTTTCTGTTGAAAACTAGCAATGCTGCATCACTTGAAAAAGAAGTAGAATCCTGTGTCTAGTCTAGTTCTAAGTTATCAAAAAGTAATTAATAAAATGCCATTTGCCTCAGGTACTAGAGTTAATAACCTAACTATGACATTGTCTGGAATACTCACTAGGAAATTAAGTGCAGTTAAAAACTCCATCCTTGAGTCACTTGACAGGTACTGAAAACCCTCTGAAGTTTTCCATTTCAGATTCCTTTTTCTCAAAAGTGTTATACAGGTACATAAACTCCCCTTCAATCTACAGCAACTTTTATTTTATTTGGAGGGAAGAGCAGCTGATACGTTCACAACTCTTCAGCTAAACACCTTAGCATAGCATGACTTGCTGCTGCTGAATACAACCTCGTTACAGCACGCTTTGCATTTGCTGAAGCAGTTACAGGAGACTTAATTCTTGAACCAAAAAATTAAACTAGAAATTAATGTGTAGAAAGCCATTAATTGACTGTAAAGCTGGATGAATATTTGTAGCAGAAGTACATGCTCAGATCAGTCCCAAGCATCTGACAGCTTTAATGCTGATATTAAATCAATCTTTGGACACTTCAGGCAATAATTCCTCTGATTTAGCTGAGAGATATCAGAACAAGCAGAAACTACTTACTGCCCACCCCCTTAGCATTAAGGCCTTAGATGCGAACATCAGGTATAACTCAGCACTCAAATCAATCTTTGATCAGGGCGTGCTCTTAGAAAGCCTCTCTGGGTCCCTCTTTTCCAGGGAAATTGGATCATACTAGACATCAGTATCAACTGGAGACCCCTTGATTCAAAAGGCTGAAGGATCACAAGATGTGTCACCCCAAAGAATTGCAGGCACATAATAAAACCCCATTTTGTGAGCATATTACAGAAAACGCACTCTAAAGTGTAGCCAAATCAACTCATCATGCTGGACATCTACAAACTCTGCATCTTCATCATTACATAAAGGCCATTTAAACTTAAAGGATGAACAGTCTGTACATCATTCCCACATTTCAGTATGTAAGTTAATAACAAATTCCAAATCAATCCATTACAAAGTTTGGTCATCCATTCACCCTCCCACATATACACCATAGCAATTAAGGCCAAGGACTGAGAACCGTGAGTCATCCATTTCATTCCTAGCTCTCCTACCAACTCACTGTATGACCCTGGGCAAATCTCTTAGCGTGTCTGCTTTCTCTTTTGAAAGCCTGGATTAATAGTCCTCACAAGCAGCAGATGCAAGGATTGAGTGACTGCTTCATAAGGGGTTTAGCATCCTCAGAGGAAAGGTGCCTGAGAAAGGAAAAAGCATTAAGTCAAGATTCCAGATCATATTAACAGTACTTTAAGCATCCTGTTGTACTGAGAGCTCTTTAGTTCCTTATAGATACGCATTACTGCCAATGCTTTACTGGAACAAGCTTTCCAGTTTGCTGGTGGTGCTATACCACCCCTTTTACACTTCACGGCTGAACACAAACTAGACTCCTACACAAGCCTTTCTGCAGGTCCAGTAAGCACTGATTAATGACCTCCACTTGCAAAGGAGGCTACTTACCTTAACCATGAAATAATGAATGCTATTGATCCAACAAGCTACTGCTATAGAGTGTTATTGATCACCCAATCTTTGGTTAAAATGGTCCTCATTTAGCAATTTCACTGTCACAAACACCTGGAGCAAAGCATGCTTATAATTAAATAGTTTGGGGGAGTTAAAGTGAGAGGTGATGGACAGAGATCTCAGGTTTCCCCCATTTATTCTTTCGCCTGAGCTACTGTTTGTGTCAGGAGGGATATTGATTTTCTATAAAAATAAGAAAACAAGAGGCACCGAGGGGCTGCAGAAGGTCAGGCTGGGCTGGAGAAGGAGGGGAAGCTGAACACTCTGTCTTTGTCACTTGCCTTCCAAGAGAGAGGGATTTTTTCTTTACAGAGAGACTGGCTTCCAATTCATCAGCTTAGCCGGGCTCTTGACTGCCACTGCAGGCTGTCATTGAAACAGCCCCCTTCCAAAGGGTAAGGTGACTGTATTGCACACTCAGGATGAGCACTGGTTACACTCCCAGGCCAGAATACTGTACTGATTTTGGCTGGGATCGAGTTAAATTTTCCTCATGGTAGCTCTACAGTGCTATGTTTTAGATTTGTGACCAAAACAGTGTTGATAACAGACCGATGTTTTAGTTATTGCTGAACAGTGCTTAAAACGTGTCAAGGCCATCTCTACTTCTCACACTGCCCTGCCAGCGAGTGGGCTGGGGGTGCACAAGAAGCTGGGAGGGGACACAGCTGGACAGCTGACCCCAGCTGACCAGAGGGATATCCCACACCATATGATGTCACACTCCGCAATAAAAGCTGGGGAAAGAAGGAGGAAGGGGACATTTGGAGTGATGGTGTTTGTCTTCCCAAGTAACCATTACACATGATGGACCTCTGCTTTCCTGGAGATGGCTGAACACCTGCCTGCCCATGGGAAGCAGTGAATCCCTTGTTTTGCTTTGCTTGCACGCACAGCTTTTTCTTTACCTATTAAACCAACTTTATCTCAACCCTTAAGTTTTCTCACTTTCATTCTTCCGATTCTCTCCCTCATCCCACTGTGAGGGTGTGAGCGGGCGGCTGAGCTGCCTATCTGGGTTAAACCACAACAAATACATCAGCATCAAGTCAGCGAAGTCACACAGCATTGGTGGGTCAGTACAATACCCAGGTTGAAAAAGTCATGTTAAAAGTTATGGCACTTGAGAGTAGATCAGAAAAAATGCACATCTCTCACTAGTAAGCACACCATTCAAAATGATTTTTCAGACAGCCCTTGCACTATCGTTTGTTCTGCCCCCAAGCCAAACCCAGACCATTCTGGGAGTACTCAGCTCAGACCAAGACGAAGAACTTCAGCACTCAATATATAACTTGCCTTTCCTTTACTACAGCTGCAGGGAAACTCAAAGCATTAAGGGACGGAAGGGCATGTTACTTCTAACAGTCTTACCAGTTAATTGTCACCTTTGTACAAATATATAAATGGCCACTTAAACTAAGACCACCTGCTTCCTCTGTTGTTTCCACAATCATTTATGCATCAGGCTTTGAGCCATGTCATTACCCAGTTTCGAAACATCCCTGCACATCCTTCCTTCTCTCAATTTGTGTTCATCTCTTGCCATGTTTGGCAAAAAATTTCAAAGATTTCATTTCACATACACTTTGAATCACAATACTGCAGCAAATCTTCCTCCAGGAAAAGACTGGCTGCATTCCCACAAGCAAACTATGAAAACTACCTCCTTGTTATGGATCCATATCCAAAGCTTTCTCAGTGAATGGGAGTTCATCTACTGAATACAGTAAGTTTTTGATCTGATTTAGGATAAGGGGCCTTCTAGAAACTAGAGAAAATGCTGAATATTTTAGCATTTACAGAGATTTATTCCCACATAACAAAGAAAAGCAAGCGTCAGTGGAAGGGGAGAAAAAGAAAGTGAAAAAAAAACCCAGTTCTGAATATGCAACTTAGTTTGCCTAAAAACACATTAGTTTTGTGACACTCCCCACCACTAAAGGAGTGAGCATTAGTGGAACCAATTCAGTATCAAAGTGTTTCGCAAATGACCACATCAGCACAGACTGCTTCCGAGTCCCAAGCTGTATCAGTCACTTTCCCTCCCATCAGCTTGTGAGGACAACCATACCATTTCCTCTCCTAGACATACAATTTTCTTCTCCCTTCCTCAGGATATGCCCTTGTTATACATCTGTGTAACGTACTTCTCTTACGGTACCAGAAAAAAACAGCTAGAGCAGAGTGAGAGTGAGGTAAGCATAGCCAGTTTCACTCTGCTGCTAGCAGCAAAGTGCTATATTTAGAGCAGCAGAGACCAAAGCATGGTCTTTCACTGCCGTGAGGGATACTCTGCAGTGAAGAGGGCTGTATGTATTTCTCTCTCCAACTTTGACCCTCCCTAGTGAGTCATAGCACAGATCACACATGTGGTGTTGGAGAGGTCAAATATTCCAACCCCTGGATTTCCAAAGAGAATCCCAAGGATTTGGCAGCAGATGGTAAATGTCATTTGATGCAGACACTTGCACAATAATTAGTTGAGAGCAAGGGACAACCGAGACAGAACAAAGCGATCTTCCAGCATGGTCCTCAAGGAACAGTCCAGACAAGGCTGTTTATTTACTCTTTCAAAACCTGGCACAAATAAAGGCGGGACAAAAGCCTGCTGGTTTGAGTTCTAGTTTGACATGATGGAACAGACTCTGACTGGTGGGAAAAAAACCTCAAGGAACACTGTCCATCACTGCCACATCAAGTAAGGGTATCTCTCAGTCCATCACCACTGACATGCAATATTCAGGGGCTACTCAGCACATTCCCTTTTCCTGGACTACCAGCAAACAGCTCTGAAAAGATGAAAGTGCTTTTAAGAACTCGTAGCAAAAAGGCATCCACTAGTCTCTTGAAAAGGCCTGCTTTGCACCCACTTTTTAAGCAAACAATAGCCACTTTTTAAGGAAAAGAAGAAACAAAACACTTTTTTGCTACTTCCACCCTATGAGGGTTACATACAAACCATGCTGATTCAGTAATAATGCAACAGTGGTCCCCCTGGATCGGGACAGTGAGGATGTATTACAACCTATGCTTTTCACAGCCTCCCAGAAAATACCATTGAGAAGTTTGCACTTCCAGCTATTATCCACAAAGCCCTCAATAAGCAAGTGCTACCTATCCACTCTGACAAACTGCAGGAGCTAGACAGTCAGAACACTTAAATGAACCTCGACTTATGCACAATTATACTGCATCAAACAATTGTACCTCCCAAATCCACTGTCCTCTCTCAGATAGTGCCTGTTACAGTGGATGTTTGAGGAAAGAATATGAGAACATGACAAATACAGACCTACTGGCTCCTCTGTATATTCCTCCAGCTTCTAGCAGTCAGCAGTTTAAGGACTTCCTGAGCCAGACCTTCCATCTGGGCTGTCATGCTTAACAGCCCCTGATAAATCTATGTTCCACATCCCACTTTTGGGCATATTTAAATTTCTGACCTCTAAAATGTCCCGGAGCAGAGTTCCAAAACTTGTGTTTCATGAAAAATACTACTTTTGTTTGTTTGTTTTAAATGTTTCCTCAATGTCTCCTGCTTCTTACACAATCATAATTAGCAAATAAACAAGCCTTTTCACTTTCTGCATGCCATTCATTAAGAAATTTCCTCCATTTGATTCTCAGTAGTTGTTTCTTTGCTAACCTGAAAAATCTCTTCGTACAGAAGCAGTTTCATAACCCCAAGCCTTCTACAGAGAGAACAGAAGTCGCACTCAAGGGGAAAACTTCCGAAGAATGACACAAAAATTAAGACCATAACATTTACAGTTCTCGTTTTCATCTCTCGTATGAGATTCTGCCACAAATTCATTAAAGTTCTCCAAAACTGGACACGAAGACGTGCCAGACTCCACTGTTTGCACAGGCTTATCCTGTAAGTATTAATTCAGTTTCCCTCAACTTCTTTATCATCTTGTTACATTTTCCCCACAGCTAGCCTTTCAGGACCATTTTTCCAGATCCAGAGCAGAGATGGAGAACTGCAAACAAGAAGTTTTGACAGAGCTTCACACAGTACCTGCACAGAGGGCTAACGGTCACAATGAGAGATCTGTCTGTTCTCTATTACTACATACAGTAAACTCTGAAAACAAGAAACTGAGATCAGTTCATATCAATCGCGCAACACAAGTGCCAACAGCGGATATACTCTCCAAACCTCAGGCCACAAGCATGCCTCTTTGTAGCTACAGGGCCACAGACATTTCAGAGGGCTCCTTGTGTAACAGAAGCGAGAAACATATCAGCTTGCCAACTTTTCAAGGAAGAGTTTTGGGTCATCAGTACAGCATTGACAGGAAAGACTTGGAAAAAAAATAATCTCCGTTCAGAAGTAGCTGAGAAATTTCTCCTCTTCAAAAAGAGAACAGCACTGAGTAACTTTGGTAAGAACTTCTAAAAGCAAGGCACGGGATTTACAAGCAGCTGCAAGCAAGGCGGCCATCTGACTAGCACAGGGAAGAAACTGAGATCTCACCATTCTGACATGTTTTCATCTGAGCCCTGTTTCTGTTCATCAGCTTCACACTCCATCCGCTCCTTCCTTCCCCCTTTGCTGAGGAAGGGCCTGTTCTCTCCTGATTCACAAAGGCCATGAGTGGATGATGTCCAAGGGGCATTTTCTTTCCAGCGTGAAAGACGCTGTTTCTTGGCTGACTTAAATCTGCAGCCCCTCTCGTAGTTCCACTCTGACACCCTGAGCTTTTGCTGGAGACTGGCAGCCACCTCTGATGTCACACGTTTGACTTTCCGACGGCGCCTGAGAGGTCGACAGGGTGCATTCTCTGTAAAGGAGTCTGACTCGTGCCACGAGTGTTGCTTACTCCTCAGGGTGGCACTGAGAGCTGGGTGTCGTTTGACCACTGCCATGTCATCAGAGTCACTGAAATTGGCTGTCAGCACCTCACGGCAATCCTTGACAGCTTCGTCCAAGCTTGACTCCGAGGCCTCACTGTAGCAGCAAGCATGCTCTGCCTGATGCGTGAAGTCTGAGCGTCGTTTACGACCCCGTCTCTTGCGAAGCTGACGCCGCTGCTGCCGGGGGCTTAAGGCCATCTCTTCCCATAGCTCATCCAGCTTGTTTTGTTCTGAAGTCTGCTCTAAGGCTGAGGCCAAGTCATGTACCAGTTCATCCATTGGCAATGCCGACTAAAAATGACAACAAACAATTAGCACCAGACATAAATAAATGCCGCTACCAACACATGACTAGACTACAGTATGCTATAGCCTTTGTAACATTAACCAAGTTACACACTTACTTTGGACTTGCCTGGGAGAACCCAATGCAGGGCAACTGCCGCTTCTTGGGCTAATGCTCACTCCTTCCTTTTGCGAGGGTTAATCCCCTCTTCTAACCATGGTAGCAGAGATTTTGCTACTGCAGCAGTTGGGTCAAGTGCTCTGTGTCTGAAAAGGCCTTAAGGTCACATCTTTTGCGCTGAAGCCACATGCTCTACTATATATCTTAAGGGTATGAGAGCCTGCAACTAGTTTGCTACCTGGTGTCGGTAAGCCACAGAGAAGGGTTAGCTTGCTCAGCAAACAGATCGAGTCTTCCAAAAAGCAGAGAAGCAGCAAAGCTGAGAGTAAAACAGACGGTAAAACAGGTAGTTTGCAAGCCAGCATCACTTCAACAGCAAAACAAGGCATGCGGGACCCAGAACAGGGTGTTATGAGGCCGAGCCCCAACTCCTACTGCCAAAATATCCCACCCTTTCCACCTTAGGGCTGTCAGGGCGCCAGTATCAGTGTCCTGGCCAAATCCCACGCCTCGCAACCTCCCTTCTCCCCACCCGCGCCTTGCAGACGCGGGATTGCTCTTCCCACCTCCTACCGCCCTCAGAAACACCCCCAGCCCC